TTGAAGCAGTTTACCTTGAGTTTGTATCAATTGTTTGCCCGTATATTATTCTGGTTGAAGCTGAAGAAATCATTGACAGGCAAGACATTGTAGCAGACAATTTTGTGTACTATGCTTAGATCAGATCGCAGGCAGTGCAGTTCCAGATTGTCCAAGCCCAAAATTACAAGCTTGGTGGCATAAGGTATTCTATTGTGAGTAGTGGAGTGGAGTACTCTTCTCATAAAATACCTCTGAACCTGCTCAATCGTGTTAATGTCCAATATACAGTGTGGGTTCCAGGTGGACGTGCTGTATTCAAGAATTGGTCTGACAAAGATTTTGTATGCCCTAGTTAGCAATATTTATTCATGCTAAATAAAATGATCCTAAAATAATCCTGGCCTCTTGATAGCTTAATAAAGTGAAAAAAAGAAAAACACCTTGTTGAAATGTGCAATTAAGTTGTTTTCTTCTATAATACTACCAAGAACCCATAATTTTATAAAGGCAGTCATCTCCACCCCCCGTAGTTACCAACCTGACAAGGGTAACTTCTACTTCATTTCCCAAAGGATAACAAATACATCTTAGCAAAAAAGAACCAAGATCAAAGAAGATGTTTTGCAATTCAAGAAAGGGACCCAAAACAGATTGTTTGGTGACTTCCTCTGACGATTCCTAGTGCAGAGAGGGCATTAAACTTAGCCTTAACTTTTTAAGCACACTTAAAGACAGGAACTGATGTGCAGAAAATGTTTCTACTTATTGCCACCCTTTATGTTCCTGATATTACTTTTACTGCCTCGGACTGTGTCCAGTGTCCCAAGTCCTACGTGCCATATCCGCTACCCTCTGCCAATAAGTCATCAGTATTATCAGCCAGGGGACCTGAGCATTGCTGGCATAATTTCTCAAGTCTTCACATTTTCCAACCCTGTGACCTACAACCAGTATCCATCTCACAACCTCCTGGATGAGATTGGGTAAGTTAAGAGTGTAGTTAATCCTAGCATTTTCCATAAAGAACTTTCCCACTTCAAATTGCATTATCTCAAACAAGTGGTGCTTGGGATACAATTGTATTGTGAAGCATGAATGAGAAAAAAAATCTCATCCTTCCTTTGTAAAAAGGAGAAAACTCCTTCTAGCTTCCACCATCTCTCTCTCTCTCTGAATGTCCCAGTTTTGCTGCAGACGTTATTTGTTGCAATTTGCTAAATGCACATTTGGTCCTTCTTGATTCCATAGATTATCATCCATTCCATTCCATTACAATTAATCTGCTTCTTATGTTCATTATTTTTATATTAAGCCCCTCATTCATTCAGTCTATAAGCATGACAATACCATAGTTTTACAACTGTTATGCGTAACTGCTACTCTTATTGGAAAAGACTCCGATGTTGGGAAAGATCAAAGGAAAAGGAGAAGGGGACAGCAGAGGATGAGATGGTTAGATGGTGTCATTGAACTAGTGGGCAAGAGATTGGAGAAAGGGAGACAATGGAGGACAGGGGTAACTGGCATGCTATGGTCCATGGGTTGCAAAGAATCAGACAAACTCTAGAAAGAGTGCAGAGCAATGAAGATGATTAGGGGGCTAAAAGATATAAAGAACGGTTGCAGGAACTGGGTATGTCTAGTTTGATGAAAAGAAGGACTAGGGGTGACATGATAGCAGTGTTCCAATATCTCAGGGGCTGCCACAAAGAAGAGGGAGTCAAGCAATTCTCCAAAGCACCTGAGGGCAGGAGGTGGAAACTAATCAAGGAGAGAAGCAACTTAGAACTAAGGAGAAATTTCCTGACAGTTAGAACAACTTGCCTCCAGAAGTTGTGAATGGTCCAGTACTGAAAGTTTTTAAGAAGACATTGGACACCCATTTGTCTGAAATGGTATTATAGGGTTTCCTGCTTGAGAAGGGGGTTGGACTAGAAGACCTCCAAGGTCCCTTCCAACTCAGTTATTCTATTCTATTCCATTTAGCAACTGAACAAAAACAACAAATGATTGTTACTATAAAAACCATTTGTGATATAAGAATTTCCTGTATGTCATATCTGTAAAAGAAAGTTAACTGCATCGCACTGAGAATAAACCTCAGTTGAATTTGCCTTGACCTGCTATTACTTACTGAGGTTGTGTTCAGTTTTAATGTTTTTGGAGAGTTTTGGTATTTCCTATTCTGGATTTTGTCTTTTATTTCCTCCCTCTTTCACAGATGATGATGATGGGATTTATTAGATGGACACAATATTTTATGACATATTCTTTGCTAGCATGTACTAGTAAAGCAGGGACGTGGTGATTCAGTTGCTAAGATGCTGAGCTTGTCGATCAGAAGATCGGCAGTTCAACGGTTCGAATCCCTAGTGCCGCTTAACAGGATGAGCTCCCGTTACTTGTCCCAGCTTCTGCCAACCTAGCAGTTCGAAAGCACATAAAAAATTCAAGTAGAAAAATAGGGACCACCTTTGGTGGGAAGGTAATAGCATTCCGTGCACCTTTGGCATTTAATCATGCCGGCCACATGACCATGGAGATGTCTTCAGACAGTGTTGGCTCTTCGGCTTTGAAACGGAGATGAGCATTGCCCACTAGAGTCAGGAACGACTAACACATATCTGTGAGGGGAACCTTTACCTTTACCTTACCATATAACATCACTATTAAAACATGTTTTATCTGTTAAAGACATCTGTAATTGATAGGTATGTACTCTGGGTAAAAAATTAGCAAATCTCTGCACTCATTCAGCTTGTAAATCACACTGCAGATTTGTGACTCAGATCTATCAACATATCCTGGCCTTTGCATTTGCTATCATGGAGATCAATGAAAATCCTCAGATATTACCCAATATTTCTCTGGGCTTCCACATCTATAATAGCCATTTTCTTCCAAGTGGTACTTTACTTGCTTCTTTGGAGCTTCTCTCCACACGGAACAACTTTATTCCAAACTACAAGTGTGACACTAAAGATAATGCTATGGCAGTCATTGGTGGACCTGATTCAAATGTGGGCTTCTTTATGGCAACCATTCTGAGCATCTACAAGATACCACAGGTAAGATGCAAACACAGAATCTGGCTCTTGAACAAACCCACAATATGTCCCATAGGTCTTGAATAGTAGTAGTAGTACGACTAATCTTCTCATCGTTCTCACCACCTATCTCCTTCCACTTATGACTGTATGTCTGTAATTTTGTTGTTTGTAACCTTACAATTTATATTGATATTGTTTCCTGATTGTGGATTTGTACCCTATGACTATCATTAAGTATTGTACCGTATGATTCTTGACAAATGTATCTTTTCATCTGATGTACACCGAGTGCATATGCACCAAGACAAATTCCTTATGTGTCCAATCACACTTTCTATTCTATTCTATTCTATTCTATTCTATTCTAGTCTATTCTATTCTATTCTATTCTATTCTATTCTATGTCTTGAATATAGTTTTGTATGTGTATCACAATATTGTTAAACATTAAACATCACTAGATAGTGTGGGATAGAATATATAAAAATAGTTAAACATTGCATGTAAAAATGATATAATCTATGAATTACATCAGTAGAACTTTATAATTTTGAGCAATGAGTTAAGTATAAGGATAGTTTAAAGAATCAAAAGTTTGATTAATTAATCAGATCTTCATTTGGTAATCATATCACAGTGAGGTCAGATAGCAATAGCAATAGCGCTTAGACTTATATACTACTTCACAGTGCTTTACAACCTTCTCTAAGCAGTTTAAAGACTCAGCATATTTTCCCCAACCATCTGAGTCCTCATTTTACCAACCTCAGAAGAATGGAACGCTGAATCAACCTTGAGTTGATGGAATTCGAACTGCCGAACTTCTGGCAGCTGGCAGCAGCAGAAGTATCCTATAGTACTGCATTCTAACGACTGTTCCATCACTTAGAGAGGGCTGTAAAGAGCTATGAAGCAGTATATAAGTCTAAGTGCTATTGTTATATCCAAGTCTTGACTTTTATCTCAGGACATTATTTCACATATTTCAGGACTGCTACCATGTCCTCCTTTAATCTTCTTTTTCTAGGGGTGAGCATTCCTGGTTGCTTCCATTTCCCACACAGTATCTGATTTCTAGTTCCTTGATCAGGAACTCAATGTCATCATAGCCCTTCTCTGAAATAATATTTCAAGCCCATTTAAAGTGGGATGTTCAGAGCTGGATTGAATTATTATTGTGGCATGTTTACAGTAGCCAGGAGACCACAATGCTTTTGTAGAGTAATAATTTGGCTTGCCAAGGTACCAGCCCTGTTATAGGAAATGCTTGTGCACTTTCCATGGTGAGCCACAGTAGGGTGAGCTGGCTGCACACCAGAGAGAAAGACAAGTGGTTCGCAAGCAACCACTGCAACTGGGAAAGTCCAGAGCCATCAGGAATCTGACTGCCTGCACAGAGCATAGCTTGTCTCCCCCACCAAAGTGGTATCTATTTATCTACTCGCATAGAACACACTTTTGAACTGAAAGGTGGGCAGAAGCTGAGGCAAGTGATGGGAGCTCATCCCACCACGCAAAGCTAGGACTCAAACCACTGGAGACAAGATCATCTCCAGCATCATTAAGCCACTGAATCAGCCTCTTGTAGCTGGATTCCATAAATAAAATCATTTATTCCCTGAGGTTTGGGTATTATATTTCTTCTGATTTGGATAGAGATGGGGAATTAAGTCTTCCCTTGTTTATTTCTTTTCATTTCAGTTCACTTATGGTTCTGCTCCAGTAATAAATGACCCATCCCAAAGTGTTTTTTCCTTACGGATGTTCCCTAGTAGGGAGCATCAATATTTGGGAATCCTACAACTGCTGCTTCTTTTCAGGTGGATCTGGATTGGAGTTATTTTTATAGATGATGAGAATGGGTTGAGATTTGTACACACGATAGTCCCCAAGTTTTCCAAGAATGGCATCTGCTTTGATTTTATAGAAACTTTGCCCACACTGTATTTTTCCTCTGGTGTTGGTGAGATGGTGGATGGATGGATCAAAACATACAAGGTGATTAGTGATAGCACAGCCAACGTTATGCTCATACATGGAGAAATTCACACTATGATCTTTTTGAGAATGTTCCCTCGTGTTTCAGAATTTGAGAACATACCCATCAAGACCAAGAGCAAAGTCTGGATTATGACAGCCCAGATGGAATTCACATCCATTCCCTTTCTCAAAGACTTTGAGGTTGATGTTATCCATGGTGCACTGTTGGTCGCCCTTCATTCAACTGATGTGACGGGATTTCAAACATTTCTTAAAAGGAGAAATCCAAATGAGGAAAATGGAGATGGGTTCATCAAGGACTTTTGGCGACAGGTCTTCAACTGTCACTTCTCTTCTTCAAGAGAGCACAAGTTCGACAGAAATGTCTGCACTGGGACAGAGAAGGTGGAGACATTGCCTGGGTCAGTTTTTGAAACCACTATGACTAGTCACAGCTACGGCGTCTACATTGCAGTATACACCATGGCTCATGTTTTGCAATCCATGGATTCATCCCAGTTCAACTCCAGAATGACAGCAGAGATAAAAAGAAGGAATTCCATCAGTAAAGAACCGTGGCAGGTAATGTCCTGAATGGAGAAACTCAGAAGAACTGACACAGAACCTCCAAATCACTTCAAAAGTTTCTGCCTAGCATAGAAAGCTTTCTCCGTGATAATTTTGGGGGACTATCTTTTCATTTTGAGGGGGTAATTCAAAGGTGAAAAAGAGTGATATGAACTCTTTAAAAATTTGACTTACCATATTTTTCAGAGTATAAGACGCACTTTAGTTTTTGGGGAGGAAAATAGGGGGGAAAATTCTGCCTATCACGTATTCATCTGGCTAGCGTCCTTAGTCTAGTCAGCTTCAGCACATTAGTTCACTGGTTTTGAGGGTGCGCGGGCACCTTTTATCCCCTAGTTGGGGATAAAAAACAGCTTCTAAAGCACAGCTGATCATCGGAGAAAGAAACAATGAGAAAAGCAGGCGAAGCGCAGAAAATTGCTTCACTTGCTAGCGCTTCGCTACAGCTGAAAAAAACTTCTAAAGCACAGCTGATCGTTGGAGGGAGCAGCAATAAGAAAAGCAGGCTAAGCACGGAAGATCACTTCACTCTCTAGGTCCTCGTTAAGGCTGAAAAAAAGCTTTGAAAAAGCTACATTCAGAGTATAAGACACACCCAAATTTTCAGCCACTTTCAGGGGTGGAAAAGTGCGTCTTATACTCTGAAAAATATGGTACTTTCTTATAAAGGTAACGTAGGCAATTGTTACAATGGTTTTTGCTGCTTTCTCCCTATATAGAATAATGCAAAAGGACCAGAAAGCAGGAAATGCACATTATGAGTTGAAGTACATGGCATCAAAAATGAAGGAATTTTCTTCCCGATGTGAGAAGGAGACAAAAAAGTTTACTTGATGAACAAGTGGCTTCCTTTTCCATCTACCTTAATTCCTACCATCATGAGTTTATTGTTGATATAATTTAATTGGTTGTAGTACTCCTAAAGGGACACAGTGACTCAGAGGCTAAGATGTTGAGCTTGTCGATCGAAAGGTCGGCAGTTCAGCGGTTCGAATCCCTAGTGCCGTGTAATGGGGTGAGCTCCTGTTACTTGTCCCTGCTTCTGCCAACCTAGCAGTTCGAAAGAATGTAAAAAATGCAAGTAGAACAATAGGGACCACCTTTGGTGGGAAGGTAACAGCGTTCCGTGTGCCTTTGGTGTTTAGTCATGCTGGCCACATGACCATGGAGACATCTTCGGCCAGTGCTGGCTCTTTGGCTTTTAAATGGAGATGAGTACCACCCCCTAGAGTTGGGAATGACTAGCACATATGTGTAAGGAGAACCTTTACCTTTACCTTTAGTAATCCTAATGTTAAATGTGAGATATAACCTGACTGAAATATTTAATAAGATTTAGAAGATTGACAGCAAAGAGAAGGACAGCAAAATGGGAACCTTGTTATCAGCCCTAAAATAGACCACTGTACATTTGGTATCTTGTTCCATGGCTAGTCTTTACTAGGAATCCATTCAGACTCAGAAGGCCCAAGGAGCTGATCCCTGTTGCTTAGGTCATCTGATTGATCATCAGTTGGATGAGTTAATGCAGAGTTCCCCAAGCTCCCCAAGCCAGAATGAGAAGAATCCACAGTAACTTAATAAAAAGGGTTTTTTGTTGGGACAAGGAGCCTGCTTTGTGGTTAAGAAAGACAAGATTAGCAATTTTTCTATAATTTTTCTTAGTGTTCTTCTCCCACCTTTTTGGAATAATGGCCAGATTTAGTAAAAAAGATTGTGCACTGTAGATGAATTAGGTCAGGCATAAACAAATCCATATGCATTAAGTTAAGGGACTTTAATATTACAAAACAATCTGAATATTAGAAATACATCATTTATACCCCTTAATTTTCTTGTGTTTTTTTTCTTCTCCTTTTCTTTGTCCATTTAGCTCCACCATTATTTAAGAAGTCTCTCATTTAACAACAGCCTTGAGGAAACTGTTTCTTTCGATGAAAATGGGGAACTGAAAGCTAGGTTTGATATTATCAATTTGGTGACGTTCCCAAATCAGACTTTTCTTCGGGTCAAGGTGGGAAAAATTGATCCCCTTGCTCCAAAGGACAAAATTTTCTCCATTTCTCTGGATTCCATTGTGTGGCCCAGGCCATATCATAAGGTACAATGGATATAATAAATGGGGACCACCTGATTTTATAGATTTTTCTAATTTCTAACTTAGTGATTCAGGGCCGTTTACAAAACTGACCCTGGGCAGTTCTTCAGGTTAATATTTGCTCATGAAAATAACTCTGGTTGCTTTGAAGGCCATTGTTTAATTTCTTCCCTTCCTATAGTGAATATTTCTAATAGTTCTGTGGGGGAAATGAGTTCAGGAAGCCTGACCCTCTAAAACACGGGTGCCAAACTTGTGGTGTCACATTGCTGTCACAAGTGGTGGGTTTTAAATTTTTTTACTACCAGTTCTGTGGGAGTGGCTTGGTGGGCATGGCTTGGTGGGCGTGGCAGGGGAAGGATACTGTAAAATCTCCATTCCCTCTCCACTCCAGGGGAAGGTTATTGCAAAATCCCCATTTCCTCCCAATCAACTGGGACTCAGGAGGCAGAGAATAGATGGGGGCGGGGCCACTCAGAGGTGGTATTTACTGGTTCTCTGAACTACTCAAAATTTCCGCTACCGGTTCTCCAGAACGGTCAGAACCTGCTGAATACCACCTCTGCCTGTCACGTGATGTTTTGTGATATTTTCCCCATTTGTGGAGCTGGGGTGGGCATGGCCTGCCTATGATGTATTCGGCCTATGGGCCACCAGTTTGTCACCCCGCTCTAAAAGATGCCAGCATCTTATTATCTCCTTCCCTTTCCCTTATCTTTGTTAAACCAGCAAAGGAGGTTTTTGGCATCATGAAGACTCAAGAATACATCATAGCCTTCTTTACAACCGATCAGCGAAGGGAACATCTGGTACTCAGTTTTATGTCTGTTTGGCATATTTTCTCTGTAACTGATACAGCAATAATAAGAGGTCTTATCTCTTGGCCCTACTCTTGAGTCATCCTCTTTACTTTAACTGCTCTTGCCTTCTGGCAGCTCTTCTCATACGTGCACTAGGAACAGACTCCTCCTATTCCTATTCCTCTCTGGAGGCTCCAAAGTCAGCACATCACTCCCTGATGGCCCTGGCCCCATCTCTGCCTCCAACACAGACCCCTCATCCAGGCCTTCCCCAACCTCCAGGACTGGCCCCTGTTCTTCCTCAGCCTCATTGCTGTCCGACTCCGCTGCCAGCTCCGCAGGCTGCTGGTGGATCACAACAATAATATTGTTTTCTCTGTCGGTATCAAAACATCTGCTCTCTTTTGCCCACAGGAACCACCCTCTTCCTTGTGTAATGACATTTGTCATTTGGGTCACAGGCGGATAATAATGGAAGGCAATCCTTTCTGCTGTTATGATTGCCTTCCCTGCCCAATTGGGGAGATCTCAAGCCAGATGGGTAAGAGATGGTATTTTTGAGTTTCATTGCATCACATTGCATTTGGTTTAGGACAGTGGTGGGATTCAAATAATTTAACAACCGGTTCTCTGCCCTAATGACCAGCTGGGTGGGCGTGGCCATGGTGGGTGTGGCCAGGAGGTGAGATAGGCAGCACTTGGCCTCCTGCACCCCCCTGGGAGCAAAAATGGGACCTAGGAAGCCTCCCTGCACTTACCTGGGAGCCAAAATGGGGCGTGTGGGGACTCCTGGAAAGGGCGGGGCAGGAAGGGTCAGGGCAAGCCAGCAATTTAACTACTAGTTCGCCTAAACCAGCCCAAACCGGCTGAATCCCACCATTGGTTTAGGATTCATTGCATGGGAATGTGATGACAATCTGACTGTAACATCTGTACCATTGTTTGCTTGATCTGACTGGCAACACAGCACCTTCCTCCTCTACTGGTCCATGTTGTTACTACTAAGCTTGGTGGAAAAGAAGAACTCCAATGTTGGATATACATTCTCTTTATGTTTCAAAAACAATGCTCATGTGAATAGTAGTTTTTGAGAATGGGATATTTGTATGGAGCTAGTTTAGTTTTATTTGGTTGTAGGAAGCCTTATAGATAAATGTATTTAACATTCAAACTTACAGCAGTCTTTGTCATCATCCAGAAGAACAAAAACAAAACACAAGGTTGTCAGGAACACAGGAATATCAAGAGGCAAACTAAGCAGTATATAGCAATAGCACTTAGACTTATATACCACTTCACAGTGTTTACAGCCCTCTCTAAGTGGTTTACAGAGTCAGCCTATTGCCCCCCAAAATCTGGCTCCTCATTTTACCCACCTCAGAAGGATGGAAGGCTGAGTCAACCTTGAGCCTGGTGAGATTCGATCTGCCAAACTGCTGGCAGCCTGTGATCAGCAGAAATAGCCTGCAGTACTGCACTCTAACCACTGCGCCACCACGTCTCATATGTATAGTGGAGAACAAAGAAAAAACAAACAAGGGAAATTCCCTCTTTATACTTACAGAAACCAATCATAGTGTAGATTTCCTCATGTATTGATACTCTCTAATTACTGAGTCAGTACTCTCTATCTAACTACTCATCTACAACTGTATGTTCATTGCACACCTCATTGTTCCAGCTACTAAGTTCAGTATCCTACCACCTCACCTCTAGATTGTTCGCATCTATTAAGACCGTTTTCATTGATGAATGTTTTTCCTTGTGAATCATTGGAAATTGGTTTGGAGGTACTGGTGTGAGATACCGTGTTTCCCCAAAAATACAACCTACCCCAAAAGTAAGTCCTTCCTTGATTTTTACATGTGCACCCAATATAAATCCTATCCCCTTAAAATAAGCCCTAGTTAAGACTCCACCCACTCCAGGGTGCACGGGGTGGGGTGAGGTGCACAGGTAAAAATTAAGCTAGGATGGGGATGGGAAGGTGGAGCTGCCCTATCTACCAGGCCTCACACACCCTGACACCTGGCTCGCCTTGCAGGCCCACTTCTTCAGCTGCTTGCTACCTCTTGCATGCATCGTTCCTGGCCTCTGAGTTGAAACACAGGCTCCGAATTGACATGCATGGTGCCTTCCTGGTCTTGTTTCGCCATCAGAGGCCTTCTGGATCGATCCAGAGTTTTGTTATCAGCTGAAGAGGGCTTCCGGAAGGCTTCTGATGACAAAATGGAAGCCAGGGAGCACTGCGTGTATTAATCCTGAGCCCTTTTCTCAGCTGCAAGGGCCTTTCCTAAAGCTCTCTGAGAGTGAAATGGAGGCCAGGGGTCAACGTGCGTGAGTGGTGGCAAGCAGCCACAGAAGTAGGCTGGTAGCAGGCTCCTGCTGGGCAGGGCTGCCAGTGCCACTGCCACGAGGTGAGTCAGTAATCAGACATCCCCCAAAAATAAGACCTGATGCCTTTTTTGGTGGTGTGTGTGTGTGTGTGTGTGTGTGTGTGTGTGTGTGTGTTGTTTTCACAGAAACATGGAAAAGTATCCCTGGCATACATGATGCAATATATGAAAATCTTTTCTACAGAGAAATTTTTCTTTTTTTTTTTTCAGACATGGATTCCTGCACTCCATGTCCAGAAGATCATTATCCAAACAAAGGTCAGGATCACTGCATCCCCAAAGATGTCAGTTTTCTGAGCTATGGAGAACCTTTGGGGATCAGCCTGACAACTCTTGCTGTCTTATTTTCTTGCACAACGGCTTTAGTGCTTTGGATCTTCCTTAAGTACAAGGAAACTCCCATCGTCAAAGCCAACAATCGGAATCTCACCTATGTCCTGATCATTTCCCTCCTGCTCTCTTTTCTTTGCCCTTTGCTTTTCATTGGTCAGCCAGAGCAGGTGAGGTGCCTGCTTCGCCAAACAACTTTTGGTGTTATCTTTTCAGTGGCGGTTTCTTGCATTTTGGCCAAAACTCTCATTGTAGTTCTAGCCTTTATGGCCACCAGGCCAGGTTCTAGGGTCAGGAAGTGGGTGGGGAAACCACTGGCTCAGTCCATTGTCTTCTCTTGTTCTCTTACTCAAGTCACCATTTGTACAATATGGCTGGCAACTTTTCCTCCATTCCCTGATGTTGACATGCACTCCCTGGCTGAAGAAATTGTATTGGAATGCAATGAGGGCTCAACTATCATGTTCTACTGCATCCTGGGTGTCATGGGCTTCTTGGCCATGATTAGCTTCACTATGGCTTTCCTAGGAAGAAAGTTACCAGATAATTTCAATGAAGCCAAGTTCATCACCTTCAGCATGATGGTCTTCTGCAGTGTGTGGCTCTCCTTTGTTCCAACCTACCTCAGCACCAAGGGGAAGCATGTGGTAGCTGTGGAGGTCTTCTCCATCTTGGCTTCTAGTGCTGGTTTACTAGGCTGCATTTTCCCTCCCAAATGTTATATCATTTTGATCAGGCCTGAGCTGAATGACAGGCAGTACCTGATGAGAAGGAAATAATGGACTGAAATCTGTATAATTTTAGCCCAGTTAAATTAAACTTTAGCTGTTAATCTCGTTGTATCGTTTTGTGTGGTCACAAATGCATTGTTATTTTAAGATTCAGTGCAAGCCTACACTTTATTTAGTTAATTTATATAGCTGCTTTTAATAGATTGATTTCTAAGGATTTCCTAAATGTTGGCAGTGGCTTCTGGATTTCCACTGAGAAGCTGTTGCACAGGCTTGGTGGCATTGCTGAGAAACCAGAAATTCTTCTTCTCCTTCAGATCTCACATGTGGAGCAGGGATGGTATTCACTTGCTTTCCCTACCAGTTCGCAAATGTGTGTGCATGCACGTGCTTGCTTCACTTGCACAGGCCCCATCCACACATGCGCCCGGCCTTCCGTGCAAGCGCTTTGCTGGCACGCATGCCTTCCGCACATGCGCCCAGCCTCAAAAACATGCCTACATAGGATGGCATAGAGCAGGGGTGGGTCAGTGGGTGGGCTGACCCACCCACAAGTTCCGCTACCGGTTCGGCTGAATCATTCCAAATCAGCTGAATGCCACTTATGATGTGGAGGAAATGTCAGCATTCCATTCTGGGGTACACAAACTGGAGTAATAACCATTTTTGGCTTAAAAAAACACTAAGAAGAGCATGTTTAATACTTGAATGTTGTAGTCTAGTCTGGGAGATAAAATTGGAAAAATGAATTGATCTTGTTGTAAGCTGTAAAGAGGAAGTTGGTCAATTCATTTTGCCATTTTTTTTTCAATTGGTAGAAATCTAGTCTACCATAATTTCTCTATTCCTGATATTCCTGAACCTCAAATATTCCCACACTTTCACAGACACACTTATATACATTTAAAGTCCTTTTTGTTTTGTTTTGTTTTGTTTTGTTTTGTTTTGTTTCAAGATGGATCTTTGCCTTTAGAGATTTAAGATAATTTTTTCCAGGGAATATGTCTGCTCAAATCCACAAAACCATTTATGATAATGTGATCCAATTCTTGATAGGTCAGTTGAATTCCATTCTTGGTAAGAGCTGCCAAACATCTGCCTAGATTTCTTTGTAAAGAAATTTTACAAAGAAATTATAAAGAATTTTTTTCTTTGAGTAACTGACTCAGTTGGCAATCAGAGATTTTCTATTGTTGGGATCCAAGGTCCTACTGCATAAAATGCTTCTTATATAAAGAAAATTTGTATAAAATGTTCCAGAGATGGCACTTGGCACCAGTGAGATTGGCCAAAATGTTCCCAAATCTATCACCTAATTGTTGGAGATAGGGTTACAAATTAGGCACATATTACTATATGTAGTGGATGTGCCCCAAGATAAAAAAAAAAAATTGGTGTAAAATTAAAAATTAAAATTAAAAATTGGCTGAAGGAAATTACCAAATTAAAAATGGAATTTAAACCAGAACTCTATTTATTAGGAATAATTACCCCAAAAATAGACAAATCTTTACAGTATCTAATACTTCATATATTAACGGCAGCAAGGATTACTGGAAACAAAATAATGTACCAGGAGAGGAAACAGTAATTCGAAAAATTCTAATATGTGCAGAAATGGATAAGATGACGCTGGAAATTAAGGAGAGTGAAGAGTCGGAATATTATAGAGTGTGGAATAAACTATATGATTGGTTAGAAAAAAGAAATCAAAATAACAATTCGGAATGTTAATTTAACCGGGTTAAAACTAGGAAGCGTAAATTGCTGAACAGTGCCAACTGGATAATGATGGTTTTGTAAATAGATACTAATGTAAATGTAAGTACGTAGATGAAAGATTGAATAAGAATAGAGAATACATATCCATGTCGATACAGTAAGCTGTAAAATAATATATGATGTAATGTTATGTTTATTACGTGTTTTTAATGTATTTTTGTTTTTTGTTGTATTTTTCTTTACTTTGTTTTTAAAACTTAAAAACTCAATAAAAATATTTTTTTTAAAAAAAAAGTGTTTCTTGTGCTCAGAGGTGGGTTTCACATAATTTTACTACCAGTTTGCTGTGCACCAAAAATGTGAGTGTGCTCGCTTTGCTCATGCGTGCGTCTTCCATGCATGTGCCAGGCCTTCCACGCATGCTCTATGCTCACGCGCGTGACTTGTATGCATGTGTACGGCTCGGAAAATATGGCTAAATAGGACGGCATACCACCATGGCAGGTGGGAAGGCCCACCCGCAGGTTGCCACTACAGATTCGTTCGGTTGAATACCACCATTGCTTGTGCTATTACTGATTTCATTTTAAATGCTAATGATCATTTCTCAACATCACATTACTTCACTTTTTAAAAAATGCTTAATCACTTCCCTGCAGAGAAGATGGACTTAGATTATTACCTAGCTCCTTCATCAATTCATCCAGCTAGCTACAGGAATATGGCCTATATTTATTTGTAAATATACAAAATAGCCCAAACTGTTGAGTTTATGTTTAATTATATTGAGTAACAGTTTCTTGATCAATAAGGCATAACTTCTATCGTGTTCTACTCAAGAGGATTGAAAATGGACATCCATATTTGAGACAGATGTAATCATGATGGGGTTGATTTCTCTCTTCCTTCTAAGTATTCTCTCAATTCCTAGGATCCAAATTCAAATGTGTGATAACTGTGGGTATATTCCACAAACTTGCAAAAGCTGATGCAAGCATTAAATGTATAGGCAAGATGATAGTAGAAAGACTTTGACAGTTCAAATAAACACAGTTCATTAATGAATAAAACAAACCTGTCAAAACCTTCCTCCCTTGCTTGCTTATTTATTTATTCTCATCTATTTAACATGATTTTGCTATCCTAATCATGCTGATGCCCTAAATAAATCATGAGCCTCATAACAGGCTTCAAAAGAAACCCAGTTATTTATTAGGAGTTTCATGTTGGCACGGACCAAATGAAGCCAACTCCGACCTCACTTAATTTGCATCCTGGCTCTGACCCTGTTCCCCCCCTTCCCCCCAAGGTGTGTCATCAGTCACATTTACCAACAAAGCAATTTTGCAGGTTGTAGAGATCACTCCTCTCCAGTCACTGTGGGTTCCTGTGTGGATGATCTCAGCATATCAGTTGGAATGTGCCTTGTTTTGACAGAGATATCAGCTCCTTGATGCAGCTGGGAAGTTCGTTTTCCAATCCCCTTTGCCTATGGCAACTCGAGAGCAGGCCAGGGATGCTTTGCAAGTTGACACACAACATCTCGGTAGCTTATTTATTTATTTATTTATCATGTTTAGAAACCACCCCACAGTGGGAAAGCTTTATATATTTAGACATAATAGCTTTTTTATTTAATATTTAGAAGTGTCTCTTCCTCTCACAGCCAGCTTTTTTTGGACCATTTTCAGGCCGGTTTTCAGGCCTATTTTGGCTGGGAAAACAGCCTGAAAATGTCCCAAAAAATGTCCTGAAAACAGCCTGAAAAATGGACTGGTTTTGGGCATTTTTAGGCTGTTTTCAGTCTGTTTTTCGGGATGTTTTCAAGGCTGTTCTTCTGGCCAAAATCGGTCCAAAAATCGGCCTGAAAATGGCCTGAAAAAAGGCCTGAAATTGGCCCGAAAATTAGCCTGAAAACAGTGCCAAAAATGGCCTGAAATCGGCCAAAAAATAGGCACAGGAAGGGCCAGCTGGTAGTCTGAATTGCTGGTTCTCCAAACCGCGCAGAATCGGAACAGTTTGGGCGAACCAGTTCAAACAGGCAGTAGCCGGTTGTATCTCACTCATATTAAGTTTGACTGACTGTTGCAATCTTTTATCTCCTATCACTGCCCCTCAAATATTTGAACACTGCTATCATGTCATTCCTAATCCTTCCTTTTACTACACTAAATACCTAATTCCTATAACCATTCTTCATATGTTTTAATCTCCAGCCCCCTAATCATCTTTATTTATTTTCTCTGCACTCTTTCCAGAGTCTCAACATCTTTTTTAGATTGTGGTGACTGAAACTGATTTCAGTATTCAAAATGTAGTCTTACCAAGGCATTATAAAGCAGTACTAACCCTTCACATGATCTTGATTCTCTCCCTCTTTTTGTTGCCTTCCAGGATATTCACAATCCCTCTTAATGTTTTCTCAGTTTCTAATCTTTTCAGGAAACCAATGCCAAGGGGGTGCATTTTTCTGCTAAAGTTAGAAAGAACTCAGGGAAGTTAACCCTTAAATAATCAAGGGAGAAATTGAAACATGCTTGTTTTGTGTTCAGCCTTTCTTTTCAGCAAGATTTGTAGCTCCAGAATTAAAGTTGATTCCTGTTCACTAATAAGTGCTCATATATATAAGGTACTTATTTCCCTCTCCCTTATATAAACAGCAATTGAAAAATAGTCAGATTTTCTACATCTTCAGCTCCACAGATACATGTACGTTCATTGTATGGGATAGAATGGAATCTCCCAAATCTAACCATTGTATCAAGCTGTTCGAATCTTGCTCAATCTAACCATTGTATCAAGTTGTTCGAATCTTGCTCAAGTAAATGTCTTCCTGAGATGTTTTGACAATTGTGGATTTGTCCATATGGAAGGTGCGTTTATATTTGCTCAGCCATTTCAGGCTACCAGCCTTACTAAGTGTGGCTATGTCATTTTGAGCTTCTATGTCCAATTCTAATATGTCCTAACCAGAGGTGGGTTTCAGCAGGTTCTGACTAGTTCTGGAGAACCGGTAAATACCACCTCTTACTGGCTCCACTCCCTTCTATTCTCTGCCTCCCGAGTCCCAGCTGATTGGGAGGAAATGGGGATTTTACAGTAACCTTCCCCTGGAGTGGGGAGAGAATAGAGATTTCACAGTATCCTTCCCCTGGAGTGGGGTGGGAATGAAGATTTTACAGTATCCTTCCCCTGCCACAGCCACCAAGCCACAGCCACCAAGCCACACCACACCCACCAAGCCGGTAGTAAAAAAAATTTGAAACCCACCACTGGTCCTAACTTGAACACATGGGGGTTGGCTAATACATTTGATAAGTAAATAA